TGAACTAATTCCATTTACTAATTTTCCATCATGCCATAGTATCCAGTCCACAGGATATTAATACATACAAACAAAATCAGTGGGAATATGAGGCCAGTTTTCCCACATTTCTTCATCAATAATCGGTCATTATTTATTAGGGAAGATAGGGCACCTTTGATCTCTCTTTCTCTCCTTGTCTTTCTCTTGGGTGAACTTTACAGAACGTTCTTAGTTCTAGGTGTAACTTCTCCCCGAGACGATGGGAACCCGTGTTCCCAAACACTCATGGTTCACGGAGGCAGTGCTGAGAGCATGCCAGGCTGGTGAGACACGTTCTAGAGATTCCCCCAGCCCACCCCCTGGAGGCATGGCCAGGACACTCCGAGCGGGACCCAGAGCTCCCTGCCCACAGACAGGGCCGCCGTGGAGGTTGGCAAGAACCCATTATTCCTTCTCTGCTCAACTGAACAGCCATTCCGTCCCCAGGCGCTCAACCAAGTGTGATGAAACGGTTCTCAGAGCTGAAGATAGTGTCTGACCAGTGGTGTTGGGAGGGGGGGCTGGGTGAGGATGAAAGAAAAGTCAGCAAAGTCATAAACCACGGTGGGCATGGAACACAGCACTTCCCTAAGAATAGTCCTCATCACAGGGAACTAGAGAGAAAGGGCCAGTGACGAGTGGAGAGGGGACTCTGTGGGGCCCAGTTTTTTTGTGTTTGTTTGTTTGTTTTAATATATTTTATTGATTTTTTACAGAGAGGAAGAGGGAGAGATAGAGAGTTAGAAACATGGATGAGAGAGAATCATCGATCAGCTGCCTCTTGCACACCCCCTACCGGGAATGTGCCCACAACCAAGGAACATGCCCTTGACCAGAATCAAACCCGGGACCCCTCAATCCAAAGACCAACGCTCTATCCACTGAGTCAAACCGGTTTCAGCTGGGGCTCAGTTTTATCTCCTGCAAAAATGAAAAGACAGAGGAGAGGTGGGGGTGGAAGAGGAAGAAGGTACTGGGTGGAGAAGATAAATGCTGATAGAAAAATAAACTATAGCCAAAACCGGTTTGTCTCAGTGGATAGAGCGTCGGCCTGCAGACTGAAAGGTCCCAGGTTCGATTCCGGTCAAGGGCATGTATCTTGGTTGCGGGCACATCCCCAGTAGAGGGTGTGCAAGAGGCAGCTGGTCGATGATTCTCTCTCATCGATGTTTCTAGCTCTCTATCCCTCTCACTTCCTTTCTGTAAACAATCAATAAAATATATTTTTGTAAAAAGAAAAAGAAAAAGAAACTATAGCACTGGGTTGGATTCAGTGTCAGCTAGCAATGCCAGCTCTGAAACTAGTGGGGAACACATGAGCATCGATATCCAATAGACTAACTTTAAAATCTTAGATTTCCTACGTATTAGTTGGGAACATTAAATAACTTGCCCACTCTGTTTTATGGGGAAGGTCGTTTAATATCTATGCTTCATAGATGCACAGCACAGATGAATACCAAGCATTCAACCTTCACTGGTATTTTGTTGCTTTCAAAAGCTGAGTGATGCTGAAACCGGTTTGGCTCAGTGGTAGAGCGTCGGTCTGCGGACTGAAGGTTCCCAGGTTCGATTCCGGTCAAGGGCATGTACCTGGGTTGCGGGCACATCCCCAGTAGGGGGTGTGCAAGAGGCTGCTGGTCGATGTTTCTCTCTCATGGACGTTTCTAGCTCTCTATATCTCTCCCTTCCTCTCTGTAAAAAATCAATAAAATATGTTTGTTTTTTTTAAAAAAGCTGAGTGATGGTGGGTGGGGATTCAAATCCCAGGTGCTCTGATTCCTAAGTGCTATAACCAGTAAGCCACGCCTCCCTTCTTATGTCCCCAGAGGTAGAGTTTTGAAGCGTGATCTGCTCAAGCCTGACCCCTAGTGGATTCCCCAAGAAAAACATGTGAGAGTTCCTTTTCTTCCACACCCTAGCACTTATCTTCTTATTGCTGTTAGAGAGAGAGAGAAGAGGGGAGAGAGAGACAGAAACATCATCGATGTGCTGCCTCCTGCACGCCACGGGGGCATGCGTCCTGGCCTCCTGGTTCATAGGTCGACGCTCAACCACTGAGCCACGTGGGTGGGGCAGAGCATCTGCAGATGGGGTCCTGGAGTCAGTCCTGGGGTGTGCAGGAGGCAGCTGATGGATGCTTCTCTCTCATTGATGTTTCTAGCTCTCTATCCCTCTCCCTTCCTCTCTGTAAAACATCAATAAAATATATTTTTAAATAATAATAAAATAAAATAAAATGAGGCCACCAACTACACTGCTTCGAGCACCACCACCCCCACCCATTGGCTGTACGGCTTTTGGCAAGTCCCTCAACACGTCCGTGCCTCAGTTTCTCCCTTCTGCAAACTGAGGAGTCCTGCTTGGGACCCGGGCGCCCCTGGGTGAGTCTGCACGCCCGCCCTCTGGTGCCCAGACAGGGCTGTGGGCTGTCAGAAGCTTTTCAGACTGTGGAACGGAGTCCCCGCACCAGGCGAGGGCAGGCGCTGTGTGTCCTTGTCTCCCGTCACTCTGACCCCCATCCTCTTTCTCCTCGTGGCTGTCTCCTCCACTCATGGCTCTTCTTGCCCCCGGCGCCAGCCCCCACACAGGCCGTCCATGCACACATGACTGAGCTGATGGGCCTGATGACTATGCATGCGTGCAGGCCGGCGCCCCGTTCCCCACCCCCCTGGACACCCCGTCCAAGAGGCCCCCCCCCCCCCGTGACCAGTCACTCAAAACGTGCCCCCGGGCCACGGCTCGTCCTGCACATAGGCCGGGGCCGGGCGGGAGGGCGGCCCCCAGCTGAGCCGGAGCCCGTGGGAGCAGAACCCCGACTGGGCCAGGAAGGAGCTCTCAGAGGTACAGCCCCGTTAGACACCGGGGGGGGGGGGGGGACGAGGAGCCGGACCTGCGCCCCCACAGCAGGGCAGGGGCCCGGGGCAGCCTGTCCACCGGGAGAAGGTCACGGGCGCCAGTCGGACTGCGGGGCGGCTTCTGGCAGCCCCCTCCTTTCTGGAAAGCCGTCCGGAACATGTGCTGGTGGATCATGAGATCCAAATCTGACCGTCTCCACATGCCAGCGACACAAAAAATGATGGAGATGTTCCTTTTATTAATTATTATATTTTATTGATATTTTACAGAGAGGAAGAGAGAGGGAGAGAGAGTTAGAAACTCGATGAGAGAGAATCATCAATCAGCTGCCTCTTGCATGCCTCCTACTGGGGATGTGCTCGCAGCCAAGGTACATGCCCTTGACCAGAATCGAACCTGGGACCCTTCAGTCCTCAGGCTGACACTCCATTCACTGAGCCAAACCGGTCAGGGCTAAAATATATTTTTATTCTTGATTTCAGAGGGGAAGGGGGAGGGAGTGGGAGATAGAAGCATCAATGATCAGAGACAATCATGGATGGCTGCCTCCTGCACGCCCCCTACTGGGGATCGAACCTGCGACATGGGCCTGTGCCCTGACCGGGAATCAAATCGAACCGTGACCTCCTGGTTCATAGACTGATGCTCAACCACTGAGCCACGCCCGCCGGCAGTCTAAGGGGAAGGAGGCCTGTGCCCCTGACTGAGTAGCCGCACTGCGTGTTTTGAAATTCTTGTGGCCCAGCGGCTGACAGTCTCGGCTCTGAGGTCAGGCCCAGGCTTGCTGTTCCGTGAAGGAGAAAGCTGAGACATCGAGGCCTTCCCCCGGGCCTGTCCAGCTCCCTGCAAAGGCAGCCCAGGTACATACATGCAAGTGTGTGCACGTGTGTGTGCACGTGTGTGTGTGCGGGGCTCTTACTCTGAGGTTCGGTTTCAAACGTGGAGCCATTTGCTGCTGAGGAGCCGGACTCAGTGTTTGGTCTTCCTTTTTCTTTCCTTTTTATTATTCTGTTGTTGTTCATCCTCACCCGAGGAAATGCTTCCACTGAATTTTGGAGAGAGTGGAAGGGAGGAGGGACAGAGAGAGAGAAACACTGATGTGACAGACACATCAATTGGTTGCCTCCTGCCTGGAGCTGGGGATGGAGCCTGCAACCCAGGCACATGCCCTTGACTGGAATCAAAACCCAGGACACCTTTCAGTCTGCAGGCTGACACTCTAGCCACTGAGCCAAAACCAGCGAGGGCTCTCTATCTCTACCTCTCTCTCTCTCTCACGTTTATCTCTCTATCTCTATCTCGCTCGCTCCTCTCGCTCTCTCTCTCTCTCTTTCTCTCTCTCTCTCTCTCTCTCTCTCTCATTTTCTCTCTCTCTCTCTCTCTCTCTCTCTCTCTCTCTCTTTCTCTCTCTCTCTTTAATGAATCACCTTCTTCCTTTCAGCGTCTATACTTTTATTTTTTTAATGTTTTTATTGATTTCAGAGAGGAAGGGAGAATGGGAAAAGATAGAAACATCCATGATGAGAGAGAATTGGCTGCCTCCTTCCTGCACGCCCCCACTGGGGATTCAGCCTGCAACCGGGCATGAGCCCTGATGGAGATTGAACGGTGACCTCCTGGTTCCTGGGTCAACACTCAACCCCTGAGCCACGCTGGCCAGGGGGGCACTCAGGGAGACACACTCCCTCCAGTGACCTCACGCCCAGGAGCGCTGCCCTCGCACAGTGGCTTCCACAGCTGGATTGTTCTTTCCACGTGACAGATGAGCACATGGAACACGGAGGTCAGAGAGCTGACGAGGCCCAGGGGCCGAGGTCGGTGAACTCCCTGAGGTGCAGCTTTGAAGCTGAGGCGAGGCGGCCAGGGGAGCGTGAAACTCGGAGGCCAAGGTGGGGAGCACGGGGCACCCCGCCTCTCTCCTGCCCATCCGCAGCCCTTACCACCCCCCTCGCACGCCCTCTGCCGTCTGCAAAGGGCTTCTCGGCACCGATTGCGCTTCGAATAAGACCCTGAGGTGGCTTTAGGCTCCCTGCATGGATGACCGGGAGACGCTCCCAGGCCTGACGGTGGTTGGGCTCCAGGGCCGCAGCCCCCTCGCTCGGAGCCCCGGGCAGCACCGTGCCCGTGGCCGGGTCCCAGCCCCGACGCCCCCCCGGCCGGGGACAGAGGGTCCTCCGGGCGCTGGAACAGCCTCAGCCTCGGGGGAATGTTCCAGGCGTGGGCGGCCGGCTCTCCAGGCTCCCTTTACGGTTCACTCGCCGTCCTGAGCTGCCCCCAGAGTATTTTCCGTTCATGCCCACAGCGTGACCCCAGCGGGCTCATGAACATTCCAGAACGTCGGTCCGTACCAGCTCCTCGCGTTTGCACAGAATCCTTTACGGCACAAGGAAGTGAGCCGAGCAGACGGCACAGGTGGTCTGGGTGGGGGTGGGGGGCGCATTGAGGGGCCGAGAGACATGCAGGTGCAAAGGCCCTGGGGCTCAGCCAGTTCAGCTTGCACAGGAAACAGTGAAAGGGTTAGTGTAAGCCTTTGAGGTGCTTGATCTAGAGCCGTGGCCCTCAAACTCATTATCAACAGAGCCAAACATCAACATTTTGGCTCAACGATTGAAATTTCTTTTCTGAGAACCGAAAACTGACTCCTGCGCATGGGCCACGAAGTGTCAATCGCACTGTACGTGCGCACCCTCAAGTGGTATTTCCTGGAAGAGCTGCACTCAAGGGGCCAAAGAGACTCATGTGGCTCAAGAGCCAAAGTTTGCTGACCACGGACTTAGAAGGGCATGTCCAGGCGGCAGTTGAACAGGCAACTCTGCCACCGAATTTTAGTGATCAGTTCATGGCTGGAAATGTCTACGCTAGACAACGACACCACTGGGCTGGCATCCATGGGGAGCTCAGCACACAGCAGGTCCCATGCTCAGCACATAGTAGGTCCCATGCCAAGCCTAGAGGCGGCATCTATCAGTGACCAGAGTTAGGCTGTCAGGTCCCGTTCCCAGCCCCACCACTTACAACGTGTGAGTGATCTTCAGCAAAGGCTGCTTACGCTCCCTGTGCCTCGGTTTCCCCTCTATGCAATGGGGGTCATAACAGCATCTAGGTCCTCGGGCCATGGCCAGGAGTTTAACACACGTAGAGTCCTGTGCGTGGAACTCAATGGGTGTCACCTGCTCTGCTCTGTGATCCCAGCGAATCGTCACGGCAGAGGGGATGGCAGGCATGGCATTGAACGTGGGTGTTGGTGGGAGAGGGGAGGGACCCACGGGGGCACCGATGTTTCTTCCTTCGATGCAGGGAGAAGAGGCTGGCCGAGATGACCCGCTGGTCCACGTGCCTGCTGGGCTGGATGACCTGCCTCCTCTACTCCTGCCAGACAAGTGGAGGTGAGTGTCCTGGAAAGTGGTGGGGCTGGGGGCGGGGATTGGGGCCAAAAGCAATGATTCCTGAGTCCAAGAAGGCTTGGTAGGAACCTGGCAGACTGGGGCTTGGACCCGTTTGCTCCGTGTGACCTTGATCAAGCAATGCAACCTCTCTGAAGTCACTTCTCAACTTGCTGAGGAGGAGCAGAGGCATTTACCTCATGGGGCCATTCTGAAAATGAGAGAGAGAGGGGGGGGGGCGAGAGAGAGAGAGAGAGAGAGAGAGAGAGAGAGAGAGAGAGAGAGAGAGAGAGAGAGGGAAAGAGAGAGAGAGAGAGAGAGAGAGAGAGAGAGAGAGAGAGAGAGAGAGAGAGAAGGAGGGAGGAAGGAAGGAAGGAAGGAAGGAAAAAAGGAAGGAAGGAAAAAAGAAGGAAGGAAGGGAAAACTAAATAGAATGGACCCAAGCATCTTTCAAGATGCTCAGTATATGGCAGGGGGAATGCAAATACTATGCTCATTTAAAGGGCGGGTGGGGGGGGGGGGAGCTCTAGCCCTGGCTGGTGTGGCTCAGTCAGTTGGAGCATCGTCTCATGCACCAGAAGGTCGTGGGTTTGACTCCCAGTCAGGTGCATGCCTATGTTGTGGGTTCGATCCCCAGTTGGGATCTATAGAGAAGGCAACCAATGGATGTATCTCTCTCACATTGATATTCTCTCTCTCTCTGTCTCTCTCTCTCTCCTTCCCCTCCTCACTCTCTAAAATAAGTTAATTATTTTAGAAGGAGGTGGCTCCATTCTCTCTCTCTCTCTCTCTCTCTCTCTCTCTGTCTCTCTCCTTCCCCTCCTCCCTCTCTAAAATAAGTTAATTATTTTAGAAGGAGGTGGCTCCATATTTTCAGTTGACTGGACCCTCAGACTCCCTTTACGTTATTTTCAAATTAATTACTTAACTTTAACATTCCCTTGACATTATCTTTTTACTTGTAGTAGAATACACAGAACATACAGCTCCCCCTCTCAGTCACGTTGACGTGCACAGCTGCGTAGTGTTCAGTACATTCACACTGTTGGGCAACCAATATCCAGGACTCTGCACTTTGTCCTCATTCAACACCTTCTATTCCACGCCCCGCCCCCCAGACTCTGACCACCACCATCTGACTTCCTGTCTCTACGAGGTCCACGGCTCTGGGGGCCTCATAGAAAGGGAATCGTGCGCATTGGTCCTTTTGGGACCGGCTCACTTCACTCAGCATAATGTCCTCTGTGTCCGTCCATGTTGTAGCACGTGTCAGCATTTGCTTTCCTTTTAAAGCTGGATAACATTCCACCGTCTGCGTATGTACCACATCCTGTTTCTCCATGCACCCACCGATGGACTCTCGGGTGGCTTCTGCCTTTTGGGTTGTTTTTTTTTTTAATCTATTTTTATTGATTTTTTTATAGAGAGGAAGGAAGAGGGATAGAGAGTTAGAAACATGGATGAGAGAGAATCATCGACCAGCTGCCTCCTGCACACTTCACACCAGGGATGTGCCCGCAACTAATGTACATGCCCTTGACCGGAATCGAACCCGGGACCCTTCCGTCCCCAGGCCGAGGCTCGATCCACTGAGCCAAACCGGTTTCAGCTACCTTTTGGCTTTTGCAAACAATACCGCCGTGAGCCTGGGTGGACAAGCCTCTCTTTGAGATCCTGCTTTCCGTTTTGGGGGCCTGTCCCCAGACATGGAACTGCTGGGTCATAGAATAATTATATATTTTTCACTTTCTTTGAGAAACTGTCACCCTGTGTTCCACAGCAGCTGTACCATTTTACATTCTCACCAACGGTGCACTGGTGTTTCCATTTCTCCACATCCTTACCAACACTTGTTATTCTCTGCCTTTTTTCCACATAGTATCCATTCTAGTATGTGGGGGGCTATGGTCTTTATTATTATTATTATTATTATTATTATTATTATTATTGTCTGAAGTTTTACATATGTATCCTTTTCCCCCAATTGACCCCCCTCCAGCCATTCCTACCCCAGGCAAGCCCCCACGTCTTTGCCCATTGGTTATGCTAATATGCAGGCATACAAGTCCTTTGGTTGCTCTCTAACCCCCCCTCCCCTACCATTTGTCTCTAGATCGATCCATTCTTTTTTTTAAAATATATTTTATTGATTTTTTTACAGAGAGGAAGGGAGAGGGAGAGAGAGCTAGAAACATCGAGGAGAGAGAAACATCCACCAGCTACATCCTGCACACCCCCGATTGGGGATGTTCCCGCAACCAAGGTACATGCCCTTGACCGGAATCGAACCCAGGATCTTTTCAGTCCACAGGCCTACACTCTATCCACTGAGCCAAACTGGCTATGACTCGATTTACTCTTGTTCATGAAATCATGTTGCTCATTATATCCCACATATGAGTGAGATCATGAGATATGTATCTCTCTCCGACTGGCTTATTCCGCTTAGTATAATGCCATTTCCTCACCTTTTCATTGATTTTTAAAGAGAGAGGACGGGAGGGGGAGAGAAACATTGATCAGTTACTTCCTGTATGTGCCTGACCTGGGGACCAAACCTGCAGCCTGGGTATGTGTCCTGATGGGGAATCAAACCTGCAACCTTTGGGTGCACGGATTGAAGTTCCAACCAACTGAGCCACCCAGCCAGGGCAGCTGCATTTCTAATGGATCTGGGAATCTAAATTAACCGCCATCACGGCCCCAAATTTAACTAATTAGTTAACCACCCAAAGATTGTATGGTCAGCAGAGTGAGACCTTGGTTATCTATGTAACCGTGCGAGTGATGAGGAAACATTCTCTACAGTGAGAATCCTTTTCTACCTGGCACGTCCTTGTTCCTTAGTTAAAAATAAAAAACAATAAAAAAAAACAGCAACTCATACTCATGCACTTTAATTCCATTAAGTCCTTTTTTTTTAAGAAAAAAAATTTTTTTTTAATTTTATTTCAGAGAGGAAGAGAGAGCGAGAGAAACATCAATGATGAGAGCGAATCATTGATGGGCTGCCTCGTGCATGTCCCCTACTGGGGATCAAGCTGACATGTGCTCTGACCAGGAGTCAAACCGTGACCTCCTAGGTCACAGCTCGAAGCTCACCACTGAGCCGTGCCAGCCGGGTGCGTGACGTTCTTTTTCAATGACCACATTCTACGTCCCAGAGATTCCTAACCTGGGCCACGAGCCAAGCACTTGTGCCCATGCAGCCCTGGGTTTGGATTTTTAAAGAATGTGTTTATCAGGTTACTGAGAACAGCGGTTGTAACAAACTCCCAAGTATCAGAAGCTTCCCCCAAAACATTTCATTCCTTGCTCCTGTAAAATCCAATGAGGGTGCCTCTCGTTGGCAGGGATCCAGCTTCTCTCCCCTTGGGGTTCCACCTCCCCCCGAACTTCAGGATGCCCTGTGGATGCTCTGCTTCTGGCCGACAGACAAAGACCAAGAGAGTCTAGAGGACTTTGGATGAGAGCCTATTCTTGGCCAGGCCAGGAAGTAACATCCATCACTCCTTCCCATTTCCACCAGCCAGAACTCACTCCCATAATGCTTAGCTGCAAGGAAGTCTGGGAAGTGTAGTTCAGCAGAGCATCTGGGAGGAAAATGAAGCTGGTTTTGGCGAACACACTGCAGTCTCTACCAGAAGGAGGAGGACATACGAACGTGCCCCTAGAGAGAAGGTCTGGGTTCAATTAATACAAAAGCAAATCATTATTCAAACCCAATTCATTCACACAGGGGACAATGT